AGGCATTCTGCAGGCTCCAGGGTCAGCAAGAGAACCTGTCAATAGAATACTGTGAAGTAGGGTGGAAGAAGACGCCTGATAGGAGCCTCTGGCCTCTTCACACACACAATCACACACACACACACACACACACAGTCGCTCACACACACACACAGTCAGACACACACACTCATATACTCATGAAACTATAGACTAGTTTAGCTATTTCACTGTAATAACTCTTTTCTTCTTCTGTTAGTCTGGGGTATCTTCTATAGGGAAAACTGATGCTGAAAAATTTACATAGACCATTAGAAGAAACTACTAGACAAGGCACAAAGTGACCACCTCTCATAGTGATTTCATTAAAATAATGAAGCATCTTTCGGTTGTGTGTGTAAAACTATCTAGAATCAATTTAATATGTATTTCTATATCATAGCACAGTGCTTTCTTCAATGTGCCCATCTGAAGTTCTCTGTGTACTCTTTTACATAAAACAGCAGGAGAGGGGCAAGACAATGGCTGCTCTTGCATAGGACCCAGCATCCACATGGTCACTTACAACAGTCTGAGACTCCAGTTCCAGGGACTCCAGTGCTCTCCTGTGGTGTCTGAGGGATCCTGCATACACATGGACACATACATAGATGCAGGCAAAACACCCATAATGTAAACAAGAATAAATAATTTTTTAAACAGTGAAAATAAAACTTCTGGATAATTTACTTAGGAAATCAATATTTGGGGTCTAGTTGTCCACAGACCTGATTCCGGTTGACTTTTGTTAAATTAATTCATTTTCTTTTTAAATTTTTTGTTGTTTTCGTATTTTTGAAACAAGGGTTCATCCCAGGCTAGGATGATTCTTCTGTCTTCGCCTGCTGAGCACTAAGACTGCAGGTGTGTGCCACCACACCCAGTGCTGTCCCCACTCAGGGTTGGGGACAGAAAAAGGGCAATGGTGCTTACAAGAGAAGCAGTTTTTCAACTAAGACATCCCCACTCTTGATCTGGTCAAATTCAACCGTCATTTTGCTGAACTCCTGGAACCTCGGGGCCTAGCAAACACTGGCAACCGAGAAGTGGGAAAATAAAGGGATTGGAGATTTCCAGTAAGGGCTTTCCTCTCTGGAACATTTTCTGGGATCTCAAAGGTGTTGCAGGAGGTCCTTCCGCTCCTCCAACCAATAGCTGCTGAGATACCAGCCCATTGGGGTGTGGTCTCTCTCCCTCTAAAAAAGGGGCTACTTCCGAGCTCTCTCTCTTCACTTCCTGCTCCGCGGGCGACTAGACTCCCTTGACTAGACTCCCTTCCTAGTTGCGCAGAGGGCTGTTGTCTGGGATGGTGATCTGTAAGTTTTTTCCTCTTTAAATAAATACCACCCTATTAATCATAATTCCAAACTGGTGTGGCATTGTTCGTGACTTATGCCTTCACAAAGGAGACTGTTAACCTTGTCTACGGTAAAATTGCCAAATCTCCTGCCCCTCTGAGATCCACAGCCACAGCTCAGCAGGTCAGATGCCCTCAGGAACCACCTGCCATCTCACTTAGCTTCCTTGGAAATGTTTGAAGATAATAGCTTCATGCCCACCAAAGTCCTGCGTGTAAGTGTTGCAAAGAATGAAATAGGACTCTTTTTTGTAATTTTTTTTATTTAAAAATTTCATGAGACTTCCCCTGGAGAGGGCTCAGCTCTCTAGACCCTTGCCCTGGGAGCCCTGCCCCACCCACCGAGCCTGGGAGACCCCGAGCAGTCTCCACACACTTGATACCATCCTCCACCACATCTGTGACCACCGGAGCCTTGACCCAGGCTGCCCCTGGAGAGAGCTTTGGCCCAGACTGCCCCTGGAGGGAGCCTTGGCCCAGACTGCCCCTGGAGGGAGCCTTGGCCCAGACTACCTCCAGAGAGGTGCTCCAGAGCTTATCAGCATCCACTAGAAACACAAACCTGCCTGCACCTGGAAAAGAGCAACCACCTTTAGCCACAGGCTGCACCTTTATGGACTGGAGGAAGAGGGACCCCCTGACGCACAGGCCCCAGTTGCACTCACTGGAGAAAGAGATGGGCAGACGGCAGTGTAAGGATACATCCAACAGCATAAAAGATCAGTATGGCACCATCAGAACCAAGTGGTCCTACAACAGGAAGACCTGAAGTCCTAACCCAGAAGAAGCGTAAGAAAACGACCTTCAATATAACTTTACGAAGATGATAGAGACCATTTAAAGAGGAAATGAAAAATTCCCTTAATGAAATGGAGAAAAAGACAAACAAAAAATTGGGGGAAAAAAATCAATAAATCTCTAAGAAACCCAAGAAAATACAAACAGGTGAAGAAAAAAGCTCAAACAGTTCAAGATTTGAAAGCTGAAATAAAGGCAATACTGAAAACAAACTGAGAAAATTCTGGAAATGGAAACTCTGGGTAAAGAAACAGGAACTACAGATGCAAGCATAACCAACACATTACAAAAGATGGAAGAGAAAAATCTCAGGAGTTGAAAATATGATAGAAGAATTAGAAGATTCATCAGTCAAAGAAAACAGTAAATCCAACAAATCCTTAACACAAAACATCCTGGGAATCTGGGACACCATGAAAAGACCAAACCTAAGAATAATAGGAATAGAAGGAGAAGAACTGCAGCTCAAAGGCACAGAAAATATATTCAACAAAATCATAGAAGAAACTTTCCCAACCAAGGATATGCCTATGAAGGTACAAGAAACTTACAGAATAACAAATAAACTGGACCAGAAAAGAAAGTCCACTTACCATATAATAATTAAAATACTAAACATACAGAATAAAAAAAGGATATTAAAAGCTGCAAAGGAAAAAGGCAAAGTAACATAGACAGACTCATCAGAATTACACCTGACTTTTCAACAGAAACTCTGAGAGCCACAAGGTCCTGGTCAGATCCGCTGCAGACACTAAGAGATCACGGATGCAAGCCCAGACTACTATACCCAGCAAACCTTTCAATCACTAAAGACAGAGAAAAAAAAGATATTCCATGACAAAAGCGTCACATATTTTGATCATGCTTTTTCACTCCCCAAACCCTTCCCAGACCCTACCCACCCACCTTCATGTTCTCTCTTCTAAAATTATCAAAAATAGGAAAACCAAAGCAACAAACAAAACACCAATAAAACAACACAAAAAGCACACAAAAGACATGGAGTTTGTTTTGTGTAGGCCAACTACCCCTAGGCCTGGGGCCTGTCCTGGGGTGTGGCTGATACACTGGAGAAAACTGACTTTCCCTCTCCTGCTGCCAATTGCAAAGAGTTTTTTGGCTGGGCTGGGACTTTGTGTCCACTTCACCTTTTCAACGCTCACATAGAAATGTGACTTTCAGTTGGGGAAACCATAACCACACTTGGAGGTCCCCCCACGTGTGTTTAAAATTTGCATTAAAAATACTCTTTTAAGCCAGGCAGTGGTGGCACACGCCTTTAATCCCAGCATTCAAGAGGCAGAGACAGGTGGATCTCTGTGAGTTTGAGGCCACCCTGGTCTACAAGAGCTAGTTTCAGGACAGGCTCCAAAGCTACAGAGAAACCTTGTCTCGAAAAGGCAAATA